ACTTGGTCCACCCATGGTTTGCCCTGCTAGCCACATAGCACGGCCACACGTCGTCAATTCAAAAGCAAACCCAACACGCAGGCGGACAGCAGTAAGTGGCAGAGTCCTCAACAGCATTATGTACGTCTCACGAACGAAACCCGCAAAATGTCTCTGGAAAGTTCAGCTTGGCACTCAAGTGCCAGTGCACGGGATCCCAGATGCCCCTCAGATTTCAGATTCAGGGTCCCAGCTGGCCAGAAGACGAATCGCACGCCGGGCTTCGAGCCTATTTCCAGCAATGCTGCAATACTCGAGACCTTTTGCTTTCGCATCCTTGGCACTAAAGTTCTTGCAATTTGGGGGATCTCTTTGTGGACCCACTCCTTTGGCCGGGCTTTACACTCCGAGCGGAGGCTTCCAGCACAGATGTTCGCTCCTTCCCGGACTGTCGGCATTTCAATAACCCGATTCTTCAGCCTCTGGCTGCAACAAAACGCTGTAAAGTGTAAAGGTGTGCTGCCTCGCTACTAGAACTGTCTGCAACACAACCAGATCCTTTCTGCTGCCGTCTCTTTCTTCAGGAAGGCTGGATGGTTCAACTAGTTCACAACTGAACAAGCATGACACCTTCTATGTGCGATGAGTGTTGCAGCTATTTCGCATTATCCGCGTCGGGCCAAGTGAAGGTATGTTTTTCTATAGCCGATTATTGGCTATTTCCTGTGGCGGTCTGAGGCACTCTTGCTAGATCACCTTGCAGCTGACTTCTGTGCAGGCCCTCCTTGTCAAAATGACTGTGCAGGTTTGTCGTATGTATGTATATACATCTGTACAGATCCGCGAATTGCTCAGTGCATCATGGAGCTGCGCGACGTCCGTCACTTCATTCGCAGCAGCCTTAGCCTAAATTCTGAAACCTTGGCAACAGGGCTGATATCTTCCGACTAATTCGTCTCCGAAGTCCTGCGTAAGTTTACCGGACAAACTTCCCAAGACTTCCGGCAGCCTTTTCAAGCTCTTTTGCCAAAATCAAGTGCGAACATCCAGCTCCAAGTGAGCTCCATCCGCTAGAGCGAGACTCTGCAGGCGTCTTGGGACGCGCTGCCTGTCTACAAATGCTGTTGCTGCCTTCTCCCGAAGCAGCCAAACCAAATCAGGAACGGCAGGATGGTTTTGCGTGGTTTGATTCTGACTCCGCTTATCATTCCCGTAAACTCTCGTGCCTCGGGAGCAACAAGGGGATTGTCACGCAGCGACTGCTTGGGCAGTAGCCTCGGGGCTAGCGCCAGTTCCTTGCAGAACTGCACGTAAGTCCTGTCTGGAGCAGAAGACTGACACTAGATGGACTCAGACTGTGGCGGCTGTTGCCACCCTGCAAATCGAAAGCATTATCCGGAGTCTCAGCACACATACAACCCTCAAAGTACACCTGCTGACGCAGAGGCAGACGAGAATAGGCTCATAGACAGACCGAGACGCCGGACGGTGAGAAAGATACCCAGAGCAGCAGAAGTGGACTTCAAACGAAGCGAAAGGGTCGCCGCCAAGAGCTCTGCTCCCACTAGAGTAGAGAGTCTCAGAAAGTGGCATTATCCCGGGTGATTTGCCAACCCAGACATGACATCTCGAAACAGAAGCTTGACCCTGGCCTGGTTGAGACGAGGCGCCATGTGACCGTGCATGCGACCGCACTTGGAGGGCAGGGGAGCTCAACAACTGCGGACACACTGCGATTTTCCACTCAACTTCCCGTGCTCAAGTTCGTGTGATTCCATTGCTTGAGCTCCCCTGCCACTCAAATGCCCCATCCGTCCGTCAAGGACGGGCTATGCAGCAAAGCACGGACCAAAAGAAAGCCTCGGCTGCTCAATTTCGAGCCGAAAGAAGCCCAAAATCACGGGTGCCCTCAGTCATATCTGCATCCGAACTGCAGAATGGAGACTCCACAGCTTTGGCCGGCTTAGCAGCCACTTCCACCCACCACCTCCAAGCCTGGGGGCTGAAAAGTCGGGTGATGCAAGTTGTGTCTGGGTCTGAAGGGCGCAGGATGCTGAGCACCCGGCAGGCAGTGGCTGGGATCATTGTCATGAAGTTGATCTGCAAGCAGATTCAGGTTTCTACATCCGGCAGACAACTGGCAACGGCTGGAGAGCTGCTTAAAAGCATAGTTGCACTTGCACGCCCCCGCCCCCAGCATCCAAACCTCCCCGAGATTCGACAAGCTATCCAGAACAAGTCTGATGAAGTCTCTGTACGAACCAGCGGAAGGCGCACCGTTAACGCGTAGCTCATCGCAAACGCAAGGAGCACGATAGTGATGACACCTGAGTTGACAAAAAGGTCATCAAGACCACGGGCAGTCACAAGTTTGCAGGGGTCGGGATGAGCTTGGACTGTGGAGACGACCACAGGGTCGCAGGACTCACAAACGTTTCCCTGCACCTCCCAGTCATGCTTGAACGTAAGGTCCATCAAAGTCCGAAAGCCTAACCCGCTTCAGAGACAGTCAGACACTAAACTTGCTGGTGGATCGCCGTACGTCGATCTGCTCCCCCATGCTTTTTTCCTGCATGGCCGAAAAGAAAATGGGAGGTCTGGCTTGGGTTGGGCTCATCCTACGGCAGGGTGCTTTGGCTTCCCCCTGCAGGACAACAAGCAGGATAACCTCAATGTGACAAGCTTGGCCAAACCAAGCTTGATTGCTGCCTTACAGCAAAATGCGTCCTTCTCTGAGCTTCCTCTTTCTGGTCCGGGATGAGAAGAAGCAGGGAGAAGGATGCGAAAGAGAAGCCGTAGCTCAACAGGAACCTCTGCAAGAGGCAGACTGGGTCGAATGTAAACGGGGCCACTAGCGAGTCCCGCCGAGCTGCGAGAGGGCCACCGTATTCCGAAACTCCGGCGTGTCCGACCTTGGACTCCGCAGCTCTCGTGCACCACCTTCCTGTCCGGTTTTGCGAAATTCTGAAAACGGGTGCGCCCTCCGGGCCTCTCCAAACGTAGCCCTGGAGCTGGAGGGCACAAAGACTTGCAGGCAAAGGGCCGGTAGTTCGCCGAGTCCGAGAGATTCGGGCGGAAGAGGCCAAAAATCTCAGGGAACTTGGGGCTCGAGGCCGGTGCGGAGAGGGTAAGAGAAGTTTGGATGACGGCCGGCTAAAGCTAGCTACTGGTACCAGTAGTACAGATCCGGACCAAGGCCAAAGGCCGATAACGCCACGCCAACACTCGGAGCCGCAAGCTTCTGCTCTCCTGCCTGGTTGCCAATGGCTCTGGAGAAGGGATTCCCCAGGTTCCTGAGCAGGCCATGTGCAATGTCCCTTGCAATGAACACCACGATGAGGAACGAAAATGACAGCAGTCGGATTCGCCAGTTGAACAGGCGGGATTATATAGAGCATCTCGGGTTCACATCAGCGGAATTGAATCATGTACAGTTGAGCGGGACAAGAAAACCATCTCCCCCCCGGTCTTGCAGAGACAATATGCCAGCACAGACCCAAAAACCTGAAAGAGCACCTAAGTAAGCAGTAGTCCAAGCTCTATCTACCCCAGTAGCACCCCTGTAGCTCCCCTGAAGCACCCCATGAGAAGCTGCACCAGGTTAGTGATTGCCATCAGGGAACACGCACTGCATTGTTGGGAGAAAGGAGGCGGGATTGCCCCGCAGCGGGGTGCACAAGCCAGGGCTGCCTCGTGAGTATAGCTACATTTACATCCTCTTTATCCTGAATGTAGGAACCGCATAGTGTTGCCATACTGTTGGGAGCGAAAAGATAAGCTCAGAGAGCGAGAGAGAGAGAGAGAGATCTTGAAGAGGCGAAGAACTGCCAAGGCGCGCCACTGTAGTCAAGAGCCCATAGGTGAGGCCCTCCACGCCCTTGAGGCTGTGCAAGTCCAGTCGTTTCGTTTGAAGTTGTCAGGGTGTGCATGTGTGTCTGGGGCATGGGGCATGGGGTTACATCGTGGTGGACGATCACGACAACAAGATCATGATGATGACGACGAGGATGATGATGATGCTGGTGACGATGATGATGATAATGATGATGATGATGATGATGATGATGACGATGATAATGATGACGATGATTACGATGATGATGATGATGATGATGATGCTGATGATGATGATGATGATAATGATGATGACAGTGTCAGTGGCAGTGGCGGTGGCGGTGGTGGTATCGGTGGTGGCGGGAGTGGCGGGAGTGGCAGTGGTAGTGACAGTGGCAGTGGCAGTGGTAGTGGCGGTGGTGGCAGTAGTCGCCGTCGTGGTGGTGATCGTAGTAGTAGTGGTACTAACAGTACTACTAGTAGTAGTAGTAGTAGTAGTAGTAGTAGTAGTGGTGGTAGTAGCAGCAGCAGCAGCAGTAGTAGTAGTAGCAGCAGCAAGAGTGGTAGTGGTGGTGGTGGTAGTAGCAGTAGTAGTACTACCACTACTACTGCTGCTACTACTACTACTACTACTACTACTACTACTAGTGGTAGTGGTAGTGGTAGTGGTAGTGGTAGTGGTAGTGGTAGTGGTAGGGGTAGGGGTAGGGGTAGTGGTAGTGGTAGTGGTAGTGGTAGGGGTAGTGGTAGTGGTAGTGGTAGTGGTGGTAGTAGTAGCAGCAGCAGCAGCAGCAGCAGCAGCAGGAGTAGT